CCCATTAGTTCTGAGCTAGGGCCAGGGAAGGCCCTGGCTGACCCCCCACTTCTAGCCTGCAGCTGCCAGAATGAACAGACCTAAGAGAACATGGTCCCTATTGCCTGCTCTTCCTACTCTTGAGCACACCCTCAGATTTAGGGTTGTGCACACAACATTGCCTCCACAGCCTCCCCAACACCTACCCACGGGTCATGGGTGCTCTCTGTGCCAAGATTTGTTTGGTTATGTTTAGCATCCTAAAAAGGGCTGCACTCCTGAACTACATATCCCAGGATGGGCAGATTTTTGCTTCCCACTCCTCCAAAAGTGAGTGATTCACACACACACGCACACACACACACACACACACACACACACACACACACACACACACGCACGCGCGTTTGCGCCTGGTAGGTAGCGGGTAACAAAAGCCCTTTGGCCAAGACCAGCAACATTTCTGAATTCCAGTTAAGGAAACACATCCCAGTAGGACCAGCTGGAATGACCTTCATCCACACTCTTCTCTATGTCCACCACCTCTACCCTTCTTCCACCCAGCCTGCGCCTTGCTTTCTAAGGCAGTCCTGCATTTGATCTGTGGTTCCTTTGGGAGAGGGCACCTGCCTCGTAGGACGCTCTCCATGGTCCTGAACGGTGAGCAGACCCGGAAAGGTTTCTGCTAACTTGGAGGGGCAGATACTAGGAAAGAGATGATCTCCAGGAAAGGAAGACTCACACAACAGAGACGGAAAGAGCGTGAGACACAGAAGCACGGAGAGAAAGGGTACACTGTGAGACAATGTGAAAAGTAAGATTTTGGACGTTCTGTCCAAGAAAGATAATCTTCCCGCCCAGTTCCTCCCTCTCCCTGTGTTGTCTCGGCTTTCCAGTTCCTCTCACACAGCTTCCAGTCTATGCCTGTCCCTGCGTGTTGGAATCTTTTCCCTTGAAGACTTGAGTGTGCCAAAAAAGCAAAACAAAAATCCCCAAACCATTAAAGCCCCTCTTCTGGCTTAACCTGGCGCACGAGCAGCCAGCCAGTTCAGTGGTCCCAGCCGCAGTCCCCAGGAATGCCTGCCACTCTGCTGGGAGTGAAGGATTTACAATCGACTCTACCGAGAGACCCCGGGCCGCGGTTGGAAGGAAGGACAGGAGGAAACAGAACAGAAAGAAGAGTGGAAAGTGGTTTCCCGCTCGGTTATGGCTGTTATTATTTATTTATTCATGTATTTTTTATTAAAGAGGGATGTCGGCCTAATGAGCAAAGAACCCGGCGGGCTCCTGGTGGGTGGAGCTGGGGTAATGGGGCACAAACCACACACTCTGGGCCCGGAGGCAGCTATCTAGAGCGGGGGATCCCTGGGAGGCAAGTGCTCCTCGGCTGCCGGCAAAGCCCTTCTTCGCCCCCGCGGGTGCCCGAGCGCTGAGTCGGCATGGGAAGGCGCTGCTCCCCTCACTATAAGGGGGTTCAGTCCGCAGCGCGGGGCAGCCTGGAGACTCCGGAGGCGTCTCTGCATCTCTGGCGCAGCATGGCCGCCCGAGCTCCGCCCCGCCGTCCACTCGCCCACGGTCTCCTCCTTGGCTTCTCTGCGAAGCAATAGCTCAACTCCTATCCTCTGGCAGGTGCAACCTTGGCCTCAAGCAGGATTACACTCAGACTCAGCTTCAGCGTTCAGGACAGAGCAAGCTTGGGACCCGAGCACCTGTCTAAAGTTTGATTTTCAATTCAGGGCAGTCCTCAGCCATAACATAATCCTGCTGCAGCCTGATCTTAATTTTGAAGCTTTATCTGGGAAGCTGGCTCCGACCAGACCAAGAACCAGCTCCTGGGGTAGGGCTAGCCGTAATCCCAGTGTATATTTGAAGTCCCAACCTCTGCTCCAGAGTTTTAGGGTGAAGAAGGAAGCTAACGTCAAAAGATGTTGGGAATGAGAGAACTAGAAGCTGTTTTATATTCCCGGCACAGGGGAGACTAAAACAGGAAAATGGTGAGTTCCAGGCTAGCCTGAGCTACAGTCAGATTCTCTTTCAGAAATGAAAAAGAAAGCAAATGGGGAGCATAGCCTGGGGGAGTGGGGACATGGATCTTTCCTCTGACCCAGATCACCGAGGCTTCTGGGTCACTAGCAGAAGGTTGCCGCCTGCTTACTGTAAGAGACCTGACTGAGGGTCTCATCCTGGGGGCGCAGAGAGAGGAAGGTGTCTCTGAGGTCCTTCAACCATAGGAGCACAGGCCACATGCTTCCTCCCACCAAAAGCCGTACCATAGGATGTGATTTGTTCATCAAATGTCAGCAGAGGCCTGCTATGTGCCAGGACTTGGGGACAGCATCCCCAATAAGCCAGCTCAAGGCAATGGTGATTGAGGGTAGTACAAGGCAGAGAGCTTAGTGGCACCTAACTGCCCAGCATGCACTTATGCCAAAGCCTGCGTTCCTCATCATTACCTCATTGCCCCACCACAGCACCAGCAGGGACACACTGTTACTGTTTCCATTTTGTTTATTAAATAGCGTTTTATTATAGAAGCAACGCATGCACATTCTGGAAGTGTGATGAGTACAGAAAGCAAAAAATACAAAAATTAAAAACTGGTCATAGTCCTACCACCATCAACATCACACCCACACTGCCCCCTCTCTTTTGCTTTTGAAATAAGGTCTTGTCATGTAGCGTTGGCTAGTCTGGTAGCCACTCTGTAGACCAGGCTGGCCTCAAACTTGTGGCAATCCTCCTGCTTCTGTCTTCTAAAAGCTCTGGGATTGCAGGTCTATTCTTGATTTTTTTTTAAACTTAGAAATCATTCCCCCCCCCCCCAAATGTGATCAAGAGGCTGGAGAGATGGAGAGATGGACAGCTCTCCCAGAGGACCCCGGTTCAATAATCAACATCCACAGGGAGGCTCACAATGGACCCTAATTTAAGTTCCATGGGATTTCACACCCCCTTCTGATTTCCACTGGCACTGCATATATGCAGTACACAGATATGCACGCAGGCAAAACACCCATACCTATAAAATGAGGGGGGAAAATTGACCAAGAGGTATGTGTGTGTGTGTGTCCCTGTCCAGCAATTTCCACTTTTTCATTTCAGCAAATATCTTCTCTTTTAGTACATAGTAGTACATAGCCCATATACAGATTTCTCCAACTGACTACCCTCCCAATCCTTTTTAGTTGGTTTGCTAGAGCCCAGTGTGGGGACAGTACCTGATCATCCTGTGCAGAACATAGCTTAGCATGATGCAGTTCATTTTCCTGGGCTATTTATCTATTAGAACATCCAGATCAGCCTTCCTCTGCATATCCTTCTCCCAGCTATCTGGTTATTTCCTTGTGCTGTTATTCGGCTTATGACACTCTCCTAGCATTTTCCATAAACTAGAAAATTGATCTAAAGGCTGAAGCAATTCTAAGGGAACCTTTGGAACACATGTGGGGCATGCTGATACTCCATGTTGCCACGCTGCGTGAGGCAAGTACCTTATTCTCTCGCCACTAGAAGTGCTAGGCAGACGGCGTGGTGGCTATAACGCTCTCCTCACCTCCTATGAAATAATGTTTGTGGGTTACTTTGGCACCAAACACACTTGTTTGCTTGACCAGAAATTCACTTAATAGCTATTAACACCAATCCATAATCCTTAACTGGTTACTCTCATATTTATTTAAGACCCATTGTTTTATTTTTATATAAGTGTCTGCGTGTGTGTGTGTGTGTGTGTGTGTGTGTGCACGCACGCAGGTGACTGCAGAGGCCAAAAGAGGGCATCAAATCCCCTGAAGCTGGAGCCATAGGCAGTTGTGAGTCACCTGACATGGGTGCTGGGAACCAAACTTGGGTCCTCTGAAAGAACAACAAACACTCTTAACCTCCAAGTCCTAACCCCAGTCCTTGGTCTGCGTATTTACAGAGGCAAAAACTGAGACTCAGGTGGGAAACCTATCTCACATAACCAGCACACTTGGAATCTGAGGGGAAATCTGGTACCTGGCACCCATTCAAATGCACAAACACCTGCTGGGGGCTGGTCTTCTCTTTATGGATGAAGCCCATCTGAGGTGAGAAAGATTCTTGGTGAGGTCCAACCTGCTTCCTGGGTGGGAGCAGATGCCACAAATGGCAGAGGCTGGCAAAGCAGCTCTGCATGTGTTAAAAGGCAGTCCCTGCTAAGAAATTTCAAACATTATCCTGTCTAATTCTCCCCACGAGCCTGTCAGGTAGGCAGCATCGCTACCCTTCTTCAGAACTGAGAAAGACAGTGTTCTGAAAGGTGAAGTCCTTGCCTAAAGCCACACAGCTAGCGAGCAGTAGAGCCAGGATTAGTTCTGCTGACTCCAAAATCTAGACACTTTGCCATCATCCCGACCCGACCTTTCAAGTCGGCTTCTTAGCTAGCCTGAGATGAAAGAGCAAAACTAGGGAGTGAACTTGGCTCTCCCTCCTGATATAGGCTGGTTTCCCTTGCCGTGTGTTAGCTAGATCTAACCCTGCTTAGTTCCCGAGATAGGGCATGCTCGGGGTGGTCCGGCCTGAGACTGGGCAGGTTCTGATGTGGTCCACAGCTCTGTTGCCCTCTGTTAGCATCAACAAGAGCATCAGAGAACCCCGTAGTTCCCTCTGCCTGACCTCTGCCTGTCAGGAGCCGTTTTCCCCCCAAATTATTACGGGAACCATCGCCCTGGGGAGTCTGCAGAGAACCCCACACCCCCAATTGTATTGAGAACTGTTCTATTGACAGAGCCTACCCCACACCCAATTGTCTGCTAATAGAGAGCTCTCTGTTAGCGGAACCCGCCCCACACTCCAATTATCTAGAGAACTAGGTGTGTCAACTCGTGACTTCCTGGCCAAGGAATCGAATTGTGACCTGACCTTTCGTAACCTCCTGGCCTGTGACCAACGTGAACCACGCGGCAAGAGCCCAGGCCCCTGTGCCCCCCGATTCCTTATCCTATATAAGCTGTAACCCTGACTCTAATAAACGGAGGCTTTGACAAGAACCCCGCTGGGCTTCCTTCCTCTTTTCCCGCCCATATCTCCCAGATAGTGCCTCTCCGGGACCCTGGAATTACTGACCCTGCCAGGCGGGTTACACCCCTAGACTGAGTAACCCACCAAGGCGGTCTACATCTGCCCACTAAGTGACTCTCTACAATGTATGAAATTCCCAGAATCTGGCTCGGTTCCTCCAGCCTGTGCACCTGCTGATCCTGTACCCCTACTCCAGCCCTAATGCCTCCATCTGAACTTCACACTCAGACCACAGCACATAGTTGATGGAGCACTTTCCTTTTCTCACCACTATGGGTTTACAACCCTGTTCTGAAGACAGCAAGGATGGTGGGTTCCATCCAACAGAGGCAGATGTGGAAGCTTTGGAAGGAAAGGGCTGAGCCTACACCTGCTTCAGTCTTAATCCGCTCAGCATTTCCAAGATGGCAGCAGAGCCCTCTGGGTATCTCCAAACTGGTTGGAGGTGCTGGAGGAAAGGCTAGGTTTGTTCCAGTGGGTCTGAGTCTGGAGCAAAGGCTTCAAGGTCAGGTTTTCATCCTCCAGCCCTGTCAGAGAGCAGGTCTCTGAAATGTCACCAGCACTAAGAGTGTCTTGAGAAATGTCAACAAATGCTGATTTGAGTCCCTTGGCAGAGGGTGGAGGCAGCATTTCTCTGTAGCCTCTCGGTAAGTCACCCGTTCCAACTGCAGAAGAAAGAGAAACCAAAGAACCCTGGGGATTTTCGCGGAAATGGCCAACATTTAGCAGATTTTATAACTAGGGGAACTGAGATCCAAAACTTACAGAGCAAGGTTGCCATCGTCTCCAGAGGCATCAAGGATCTCTATACAGCAGTATCATTCTCTGCTCCCTAGCATCTCGGATGTCCCCCAAACCCTAGTCCCTATGCTAAACTTATCTTCCCTCAAGCCCCAGGCTTCTGGAGTCATGGGAACAACAGGATTTGAGGATGTCATTCAGGCCCAGCTTGCAGAAGGGGCAGGAAGAGAAGAACCTGAGGCAGCTATCGCACCAGTGCCTGCTCGCTCCTCAACCCCTTACAGGACTCACACCTGAGCTGCAGAGGTAACACCACAGCCTCCAAGAGCTCTGGGAACCATGGCTTCCTCCTGGCTGTGAAGCTGAAGCCCTCCCCTCTCTCCCAGTAGGAACACGTAATTCACTATCCCTCTCCATAACCAGGGAAGGCTATTCCTGGTCTCAGCCAAGTCAGTCTTGCCAAAGCCCGCCCGTTTGCATTTTCTCCTACAGGGTGGAAAGGACCAGTTTTCCCATTTTAGAGAACCTTCCCGAAGGTCCCAAAGAGCCTGGCCTCCTGCTTCAGCTCTTCACAACCCCTCTCTCCCGGCCCTATCAGCACTGTAGAATCTAGTGCCTGGGGGCCTCTCTCCACTTCCACTGTGGTTGGGAGGGAAACATCGGGCCCATCCCTATCTTCATCTCCCCCCCCCCCACACACACACCTGCCACACCACAGGGCCACAGCCAATAGCCAATGAGCAAAAAAAACCACTGACATCTCAAATCAGGCCAGTCACTGCACTTAACAGTCATACTTCCTCTTCAAAGCACTTGAGGGTAATCCTCAGACCAAAGCTTCCTGAGAGTAGAGACCGTGTTTCTGAATCACTTTGTCATTACTACAGCTCCACCCAAGAAGGCACCTAATAGATCTTTAAAGAGAGAAAGAGAGAGACAGAGAGAGAGAGAGAGAGAGAGAGAGAGAGACTATCAACCAACAAGTGAATTCATATGTAAATGAATGGATGCCGCAGAGAAGCAGGGGCTTTAAAACAAACAAATAAACAAAGCCCTCTTATTATAATGAGGATGTGAGGTTTAGGAAGGATGGCAACCTAGAAAGGGCCTCCTGGATGTAATACGGTAGAATTAAACCCTTCCTCCCTGCCCAGGAGCAGGTCATAGATGCAGCAGGGAAGCCTGGATGGGTGAGGACCAGGCTGAGGCCCAGGCAGACGGAGCCTCTGCCCAGAAGGAAGGACTTTCCTGGAATTATTCTGCCTCCAGGTGGAGAAATGCAAAAGCCTAATTGGTTTTCTCGGATCCTGGAGCTGGGCTCATAAGTCATGGCTCCGAAGGCGATACAGGCACCTTGTCTCTGGAGACCTGGGCGTGACTTGGTGCAAACTTATGGTGACACCAAGAGTCTACAGTCTCCACATGCAGGTGCCTGGGTCACCCCTGCCCAGAACAGAACAGACCATCTCTTCACAAGGTCCACTAGTCAGTCAACTGCAGTGCACTGCACCTCAGGGTGCTGCTCCTTCTGGGGCGCTGCTCCTCCTCTGGGCACTGCTCTTGTGTGTGGGGGGGCTGCTCCGCTGCTCCTGCTCCTCGGTACACCATGCTCAAGTACTCAGGGCCCCCCAGGGAGAAACTGGGAGAGGAGAAGGCCAGGAACGCAGAGTGGGAGTGTGGCGAAGGCCCAAAAAGCCTTCCTTTACTGAATTCAATCCCGCTCACAATTTATTGAGGGCCTGCCTTGTGCCAGATACTGTGCTGGGCTCTGGGGACCCTGGGATGGCTCGGATGCAGAGGAGAGGGAAGGGAAGAGGCAGCCACCGAGACAATCCTCACAACACGGGTGATAAGTGCTTTAGAGGGAAGTACAAAGTGCTCTGGGAGCTCAGAGCAGCGGGCCATTCATTCTTCCCTGCTGGAAGAGTTTGGGAAACTGCACGGGGAGGGGCTGTTTTGGCTCAGTTTGGTGGGCTTTGAGGTGGGGGCGTGGAGGAAAGGACACATCATGCAGAGAGGAGCATGTGTGCCAAGACAGGGGTGAAGGAGAAAACCTTGATAGGGCGTAGCAGATGGGGAGGCAGGAGGATGGTTGAACAGCAAGCCGCAGGCCAGAATCAGAAAGGCCATGAATGATCGTACTAGAGGGCCTGGACCTAGTCCAGCCGTGGGCAAAGGGGAGCCATTGAAGAATTTTAAACAGGGGTGTGTGTTTGGGAGGGGGCGGTGGCAGGGCTAGATTTGTGCTTTAGAAAGCCTTCTCCGGGGAGAGAGAACGGACTAGAACTGCGGCCAACGGGCAGAGAGAAGGGGATGCGTCCTAGGGACGCTTTGGAGAAAAGATGGGCAGGGCTTTTCCTTCCTAAGTAATGCTTTCGCACTCTCTTGCCTTTCCACTCAGGCTGAGCTTCCCAGGGGGGGATGGCTGCTTCCCCCTTTCTCTGGTCGGCTAAGGGCTTCTGCATTCACAAAGCTGAACCTACAGGGTCTGACTGGCTCAAACAGCCCCAACCGTTCTGACTCCTGCTGTGATCCTGCGCCAGCGACTTCTCTCTACTCAATCCTCAAGCCCTATGGAGTGGTAAGCTTAGCCTAGGCCTCTCGGGAAGGCCTGAAAGATCCTCCCTCCCTCTTCTTCCTTCCCTCTCCCTTCTTCTTCCCTCCCTCCTCCCTGGAGCCCAAGCTTTCTTGCTGGGAGCTCTCAGAGCCAGTAGAACTGTGGATGAAATGGTTCGGTGGCTCTAGCCCAGCTGCTGCCATGGCAACCAGGCTGCCTGCCAGACTCACAGCCAGGAGAGGGCCTAGTTTCCTGCTCCAGAACTACATTTCCCAGCATGCAAAGCTCCTGCAGGGATGAAAGAAACTCACCCCCTGCCTGAGTCCAGCCTAGAAGGTGTTGGAAGAACACAGAGTAGGACACTGCCAACCCCCACCCCCGTGAAAGCAGGGCATGTTTCTGGGTGCATCTGGGTCTGGAGGAGGACTGGAAACCATTTCTCTTTGATGACCTACCTGACTGACAAGGAAGTCAATGGCTACAAGAAAGGGCAAACGTTAAGGACAGATACTTGTCCTGGTTTTGTTACAGACTCATCCGTGGTGTTAATTGAAAACATTCTCTCACGCAGTGTCCACTACTCTCCATCTCTGCCATTACCTTGAGGGACCAAGTCTGAACGGCTAAAACCCAGCCGACTGGCCTGTGGGTCTCTCAAGTGCCTTCCTCCTTCTTCCACAGAAGCCCTAGTGACCTTTTCAAAATGCAATCCTTCCTTCTCACTGCTGATGGTGCCCACGCCCTCTGCTGTTTAAACTCCTCAGCGTTTAAATCTGTGGCTTGCTGATGAGGAAACAAATTGCTTCAGTTCATTTGACAAGGCCCTGCATGGCAGTCTGGCTTAGGCCTGCTTCCGGTCCCCCTCAGAGACCCCACACATTTCATATTGGACTTCTGTTTCATTATAGAGGTTATATCCTGTCCTGATGCAGGGCCTTTGAAAATCACGTTACCTCTCTCCAGAACACTTTTTTGTTCTGTCTTGGCTCCATCTAGACTCTCCTACTTCAGAGTAATGTCATCTTCTAAGGACAACCTTCTAAGGAAGGGCTGGCAACCCAGCTTGCTTGACCATTCTTGGCCCAGTCAGCCCCTTTCCTACAATACAGATTTGCTTGTTTGCATTATTATACGATCATTTGACACCTTTGCATATCACGCTAAGTTTAAAGCCTCTGTGAGGGAGAGAGAATACCTTTTAGCCTGCCAATGCATCCTCAGGGCCTTGGGAATGGATGTTCGGGAGTTATTCCTCAAAACAAATGGATTTGTCTAAGCCTTCGTCTTCCTATCTCAAAGTCTGCAACATGCCTTGCCCTGTGGGTAGGAGGACCAGAGACCCCCTCAGTGGGCAAGACTCAGATGTAGTCTGTCCTATTATGAGGCTCTCAGTCCAAAGAAGAAGACAGATACCAGGTGCGTGTTTGGTGGAAGAGTGCTCAGTTTGCTAACAGCAAAAGATACAGAGTCAGAGATCTAGAAAGGTCCATGAAGACTAAAGTGATTTAAGGTGGTGCAAAGAAATACATATTGCATGCAGAGCAATGGATGCTTCTAAGGTACCCAGACATGCATTATTTGAGGTGTTATGTAAGGCCAGGGCTGCTGGAGTGTAGGTTGGGTGGGAGGTGGTGGTAGCTCTATTATGCTTTGGTTTTCTCGGGCAGTAATGGGATGGGTGAGCTATTTTTTTTCCAACCGGCTGGACCTTGCCTTCCATATCACCTCCACAAATCCCAGCACTTCTCTCTATTCAGGCTGCACCATGACTCAGGCAAACGGCCCTTCATTCTGGAGCACCTACTGCTATGTGCCGAATGTCTAGTGAGCACCCTGACTGTGTCTGGTATGATGGGGCTGTAGTGTGTGTGTGAGTGTGTGAGTGTGTGAGTGTGTGAGTGTGTGAGTGTGTGTGTGTATGTGTGTGTGTGAGTGTGTGAGTGTGTGAGTGTGTATGTGAGTGTGTGAGTGTGTGAGTGTGTGTGTATGTGTGAGTGTGTGAGTGTGTGAGTGTGTGAGTGTGTGTGTATGTGTGTGTGAGTGTGTGAGTGTGTGTGTATGTGTGTGTGTGTGAATGTGTGAGTGTGTGTGTATGTGTGTGTGTGAGTGTGTGAGTGTGTGAGTGTGTGTGTGAGTGTGAGTGTGTGAGTGTGTGTGTGAGTGTGAGTGTGTGAGTGTGTGTGAGTGTGTGAGTGTGTGTGTGAGTGTGTGAGTGTGTGAGTGTATGTGTGTGTGTGAGTGTGTGAGTGTGTGAGTGTGTGTGTGTATGTGAGGGAGAGGGGGCGGAAAGAAGCTGATGTACTGGTACAGTATCCAATCAGTAATAGAACACAGATTACTGACAATGGAGTGGGGGGGGGTCCCTGACAAAGCAGGGAACCTAGCCTGGGGTACAGGGTGGGTGCACAGCTTGTCTGGCAAATGAGGCATGGCTGACCAGCTGCATAGCTTCAGTTGGCCTGGAGCAGGAAGGGATCCTCTTATTCCCGCATCTGTTGCTGTCCTCCTCTTCCTCAGAAGTCTTGAGGAGGGTAGAAGAACTGCCCCCATATGCTAGCTTTATCTCTGAATGCTTACCTGTAAGTTGCTTCAAGTTTGTAAAATGAACTGGACTAGACATAATAGGCATTAGCTTCCCTATTCTATTGCAGGCATTCTAGACACACACACACACACACACACACACACACACACTTACTCCACTCCAGCAGAAGCCAGGAACCTCCAGCTGACCTGCTTCCCACAACACCACTTTAGAATTGTGTAGAGAAAAGCAGACTTCTAGGGAACTCAGGGACAAGTGTTGCACAGGTCACATCTTGAGAAGTTTTGTTTTAGAGGATGCCTAATTTTATCTAAAGAGTTCCTGAAGCATTCGCTCACCGGAAATGTCTCTTAAATTCTAGCCAGTCGTGGTGACCTTAAGGACCCAGCACCACACCAGGCAACCTTCCACTTGCCTTCAAGTCTGTGCCAGGATGCCAAGCCAGTCCTACCCCTTTGCCACCCCTTCCCAAACCCCTGCCTCACCACGCAGTCCATAACCACTTACCAAGAGCCTACTGTGTGCGGGAGCTCTAGGAAGAATATGGCAACCGTGACCTCTGCTCTCATGGGGGTCTTACGTACCGTAAACATAAAGAACTAAGCAGGATAATAGTAGCATGTGTTGTGAAGACAGAAAGCCGTCATCTGGTAAGAAATGCCTGGGGACCTGTCTAATTCCAGCTTCAGGAAAGGGAAGCTGGTACCTGTGGTTCTAAGGAAGGTTCTAGAAATAAAACAGAAAGCCATTCTTATCCCTTTGCTACTGTTTTTGTCTACTCTTGTTTCTGGCTCAGCTTGTTTTTCTGTTTCAACTCTCTCTTTGTCTCATTTCTCCTCTCATTTGCTGGTTCCTCCCCTCCCTCCCACTCCCATGCTTGCCTCTTCTCTACTCCCTCCAGAGGAGCTAAAGAAACCAGATCTCTCTTGCTCTCGGGACAGCCAACAGTAATTGAGCTGTGGGCTTGTTTAGCAAATGGGTCTGTGAGTAGAGCTAGCAGAGGAGAGTAGGGAGGTCAGAGGGAAGCATGAGGTGCTGGAAGCTGGTGGGATGAGGTGGGGGAGGGCCCTGGTGAGCTCCAGGGCACTCCGAGGGGTTGGAGGTGGCCGCTGAACCAGGTAATCTAATCAGGGGGTAAGTCATAAAGATCACTCACTCTGTGCCCAGGACCAGCCTAGGAAATCACATTAATTTGAAGAGGGTGTAAAATCCACGGAGAATTCCCCTCTCTCCACCACACACATGAAGATAAACTGTCTTCAGCTTCCAATATGATCTTACAACAGCTTGTCAGTGACAAAACAGCCTCAAATCCTCCCATTTATCAAACGGCCAATCCTGTTAGCAGCTTAAAAGAGACATAATTACCTGCGGCCCTTTGTGTGATGCTTTAAACTAACGCCGCTTCCTTCTTCCTGGCAGCGGTCCAGAACGTGAGCTCAGAATTCATCCCTGAGATGAGGAGGTCTTTAGAGATGTTGAAGTTGGCGGTCAGGAGTGCAGGGCTGAGGAAAGGCAGGGGATGAGGGTTAGCACCATGGACAGAGTCTCGGGTCCAGCCAGGGAGGAGGCACCAAACCCAAGATCCGGGAGTCCAGCTGGGGACCCTGGGGGTATTTGGAGGGCTGTGTTCCAGTCACTTCTACTACAGAGAAGCTAATAGAGCCCTAGGCCCATGATGCACCAGCACTCGCTGTGGGGCAGAGAACAGACGTAAATGGGCCTATAGATGGAAAATCTGATAGCGTTCTCCACCCTCTGGCAGAGCTAGGAGTCCCCACAGTGGCCGACATGCTTTGTGCAGCTGTGACTTCAGAATCTGCCTTACTATTACACCAGGAAGAATAGCGGGGTTCCCTAGCTAATGTTCACCAACCGGTGTTTGCTCTAGGCCAGGCCCAGTTTTATGCTAATTAGGATAATGAGTCATACTGGATTGTTGTTCTATTTTTCCATTTTATAGATAGGGAAGTTGAGAGAGCAAAATGTCCAAGTCAGTGAGAGCGGATTCAAGTCTGTAATCTATGATCTGAGTCATCTCCAAGGCAGGCCACACACATGGCCTTTCCCTTTAGGGAAACCTGGTTGTTCCTGGTCAGAGCTGTCCTACAAGCTCCTATGTGCATTCTCACAGCCCCCTCCCTCTCTGCTGCTATCAGTCCTTGCTGTAACTACACCCTGCAGGGAGACCACCCTGTGCCATTCTGCCCTCCCTGACCTCTGTCACTGCAAAACGCCTCCTTGCCTCCCACTTTCCTAAGATTTTCTCTGTTTTTCAGGAAGCCCAGGCAAATCCTCTCCTGGGAAGAAACCATCAGAGTTCATTTGGAAGTCAGATAAAGAGGCAGACAGTGAGACAGACAGCAAGAGACAGACAAGAGACAGGTTGAAAATGGATTTTGAAGTGCCGTTGAGCCAATGATCGTGGTCAAATCTCGTTGAGAGACAAGGTATCCGTGTATCTTGCAGATTTATTTAGGGCTAACTTTGCTTGTTTCCTTCTACTCACCAGCCCTTTCTCCTTGCCCCTGCCCTTCCCTGGGCTGCCTCCCAGACTAGCATCCTACCCCCATCCCACCCTATCCTGCCTCAGGGCATTCATCACTTGGTCTAGTGATTTATCAAAGGCCCTGACAGTCCCTGTTGGGCAAAAATCGATCTGTGAAGAATGGGACCAACCCAAGGCCCCCTCTTCTCCCAAACCCCACCATCAATCTGCCCCAAAGGAGCTCCACAGCTCAACATCAGCAGTGCCCCCAGGCTGGGGCAGTCTCTGTTTTCTTTGCTGTTCTTAAGAAGAGGGGAGAAAGCAAGCAAAGAAGAGAGGGAGAGAGGCAGACAAGGGGAGAGGGAGGGACAGGGAGGAAAGAGCGAGGGAGGGAGAGAGAGAGGGAGGAAGAGAGAGAGGGAGGGAGAGAGATTAGTGCCTTCTCCCAGATGTTTATTTTGTTGTTTTTAAGTGAGAAAGTCCCAGCTCTATTAAATGCAATCAATACTTGGCCCAAGAGAAGCTTCCCTTCTCTAAGACATTTGAAATCTGGTCAAATCATTTTGCCCTGATACAAAGTAATTTATCAATTTCAAAACCCTTCTAATCAGTGGAGGCTGTGGAGTCTCCATTCCTGCCTGCTATCCTCTGCTTTGCCTGCACACACACACACACTTTCTCTCTCACACTCTCTCTCTCTCTCTCTCTCTCTCTCTCTCTCTCTCTCTCTCTCTCACACACACACACACACACACACACACACAAACACCTCTGTTCTCTTTATGTCCTTCTTTACCTCCCTCCCTTCTGTCTCCCAGCAACCGCAGATTGACTTCTCACCCCTTCAGTACAGCCTCCAGGCCAGGTATCATCCTTGCATCTCTAGCCCAGTCTGTATGCTCCTTACCCTGCAGGCCTTACACTCAACCCTGGGGCACCAGAATGACTGAAAGTACAGCCACAGGCACAAACACTTTCTTCTTTTCCTAGTGGCAATCAGCTGGGGCTAGGAGTGTCTTGTTCTTAGACAGAGACCAGAACTGGGGCCAAGAGGCTAGATGGGACCTTTGGGCCACCAAGATTGTCCCTTAGGGCCTTGACACATGTCTCCAAGAAACAAGGGAGACTGGCTGGCTGGAGAGGAGTTGATGAATCTGGCTGAATCTGAGGATGATGTCACAATACTTTCTGCCTGCAAAGCTGCTATTTTGGCCCTCGAGACAGGTTGTGTCTAAAGGGAAATTGTGACAGCAGCAAAATCACCTTGTAGCTCACCCTCCCATTCCCAGAAGAGTGGCTTCAGCCTTTGCAGCACCATTAGATTGGATTCTCGTCAGGTCCTTTGTGACTGCCAGCTGTGGTGGTCAGATAGGCCTCTGACCTTTGGGGAGAGGCCACCCACTGAATAGCTAATTCAAATGGTCTCACAATTGTCTCTGCATTCCCTGGCCTCAGAGGTGACTGAGGGAAGTGACTCAGCTGGCCAGAAGTCACCACAAGGTAACTCAAAGCATATAAGCTCTCAGAGGACCTTTACCCACAGGACAGTAAATCTAGAAGCCTGATTTTGGCCTTCTAGGCTCCTCTGCCAAATCTAACCTAAAATCTCTAGTAGACCTTCCATGCCTTGGGTTAGGAAGACACCCTGTAAACATGTATGCAGTTAGTGAATGGATAGAGATCTTCATGGAGTTCTGCTCCTTGTTTTGTGCCTCTCCCCTCCCCATAGCTATCATAGGTCATCTAGGACCGGAACCACAGACTGACTGTCTTTGAAGCCCTCACAGCTCCTTCCCCAGAGCTCTCCTCAAAATAATGTTAAACTAGAGTGAACACAGCGTCCTATGGTTTATGAGGTGTTTTAATATTAACTGTCTAATTTAATTCTACAATAATGCTGGGGGGATACATATTACCCTGTTTTATAGCAAGAGAATTCAAGGTTCATAGAGGTGAAGTCACTTGTCCCAAATCACGCATGGAGCAAATAACAAATCTAGGCAATCTACCCAAGTTCTCTCAATCCAGACCCTAAATCTTTCCACTGTTGCTATTCATTATATAAGCATTAAGCGTCTTCTTCACGCCAGATTCTCAGTTTTCTTCATGGCCACTTAAAGCCAGATAATACTACACTCTTGCACGCTTTCTTTCTGTAGTGTTTTTGGTCTCACCCTGTAGCCCAGGCAAGGCTGAAACTCATTGCAGCCTCCCTGGCTTGACTGCTAAGAGCTGGGATGGTCAGTGTGAGTCTCTAATGCTCTGCTTGACAGGCTTTTCTCTATAGATTGGGAGCTAGAGGTGCAATTATTAGCTGAAGACAGTACAGTAAACAAGAGACAGAGGTAGGACGGGAAATAAGAGATGGAGGTAGATTTAATCTAGATCTCTTGGTCAAATCATTGGTCTTTCCCACTACAACATAAAACCCTTTGCAGGGATGTTCAGAAAAGGCTTGATAAATGCCAAGCCCTTTCCAATTTAATCTTTGTAAAATTCACTTCCTTCTTAGAAATGAAGGAATCAAAACTTTGAAAAGTCTAATGCCCGATGCCTCACTGAGATTTGAACTCCTGTCTCAGGCTGCAGAACAGCAGCTTGGCTGTTCTAGCTTACTGATGCTCTCAGAAACACTCATGCATCCAGCAACCAGTTTACCAATTGGGTGTCTAGCCAGTGTTCGGGCAGATCTCATGGCACAGCAGGAAGAGAAGCTGTAATTGATGGGCTTCCAGAGCAGTGACTGGCCCCTGGTCCACACTGACTCTGCCAAGCCCTCTGGACCTGATTGTTTCTGCTCCACTTTCTGACCGGTCATTCATGCCAAGGGATCCTCATATAATCACGTGACATTATCTTCCCCATTTGAAGCATATGGAGTCCAGAGAGATCAGCAAGTTGTCCCTGGACACACAGCCTCACAGCGTTATCAAAGAACTATCCGCATAAGGGCCCTGCTGCTTTAGTGTTTGTGTGTGTGTGTGTGTGTGTGTGTGTGTGTGTGTGTGTGTGTGTGATCATCTCTCAGGCTGTTTGGGAAGAGAACTGTCACTAGGCTGTCACTAAGGAACACTGCAGCTGCCAGAGGGCCCCAGTAGTCAGGAGAGACATGTAAATACAGGGTAAACTGCTGGGAGACAATTTGAACTGGTAGTCACTGAAGAAGTGGATGGGACAGCAACCGACTTAGGGAACACCCCAGGGCTTGGAGCCTTCATTTTCATTTCCATCCAGCTAAAGACTTCCCACCCTTCCTCTGGAAAACAACACCACGGCCACCCCCGCCCCCCAACAAAGAATAGCTGTAGCACTACTTGGCTCAGGACTCGCCCTGATTGCTTCCCACATTGATGGATGAATGTGGTTCCACAAATTGGAAAAATAACCAGGGTGCAGCTCCCAGACCCTGCTGCCTATGGGTGGAGGGGGCTCTTCTGGGTTAACCCAAGACCTGGGAGGAATCAGTCCTCTGCATACCAACCCAAAGAGGCAGCGGGAGAGGCTCCCAGCCTGGTGGGGGTGGATTTCGATTTCCTACAGGGTTTCTCTGTGTCACCTCTCATCACCATAATATTTACATCAAATGCAAAAGGCCTCCTCGGAATAGAACCCTGAGGTTGTAAATGCCAACTCTAAGAATGTCAGCAAAAGGAAAAGATCAGGTTCCTTCAACAGCAGCCTCCCCCTCCTCCAGGCAATGCCTGCTGCAACCCCGAGGGCAGGCAACGCAGGCTCCAGAGCTTCCCTGAACCTCACCCCAAATCTGGAAAGGTTGGGGGGACACCCAGGGCACCCAAGGACATTCATCTCTGATTCAGCAACACCAGGTAACTTCATCTCTTCCACCTGACTTCACACAACGTCTGAGGAAATGAGTCCACGTACATTCTCCATTCAGGCTGGGTGGTGGATTTAATCCCAGCACTTAGGAGGCAGAGGCCTGTGGATTTCTATGAGTTCAAGGCCAATCTGGTCTATAGAGTGAGTTCCAGGACAGGCACCAAAGCTACCTGTCCT